TTCTCCCCCCAGAGCTCCGAAGGTTTACAGCCCCGCTCGTGTCTGTTTACTCCGCATTTAGCCAGGCCGTTCGTCGGCTTTACCTTTTTGTAAATATGTTGATTTTGACCTCGCTGCTCCACAGAAGGGGGAGAGACGAGCTCTCCTTAGCAACGGCCGGCTTTCATCGCGTTATTAAAGTGTCGGGGGTCCGAACCAAAACCACTCCCACCCATCGGTCTTCAAAGAGTGTTTTTTAATGTCTGAATAATGAGTGTCTCATTCTGTATTTAGATGATTCAAGTAACTTAACTTCTAAGAAGCAAACTGAGCTTTGTGAGTGTAACCTTGTGTGGGTGGTTCTACTACAACATGTAACGGTTTGTCATGTTGATCTTGCCTAGTGTGATTTATAAAAAAATTTTTTCTTTGAGGTTATTCCCGCTAGATGGAATTCTCTAGAGTTTCAGATCCTGTCTGTGCTTCATAAAGGAAGGAGAAAAAAAGCTCCTTTTGTTCTTTAAAGGCTTTTCTCTCCAATGGGATGAGAGACGCCCTCTTAAGTGTATATTTCCGGGGCTCCAAACACGTTTTCCCTCACGGACACGCCGATCCTCTCCCGTCTAGAGCTCGTTATTTTCTGGTGTTTTTGGCGAATGAGACGCAGTAGAAGTGAGAACACCTCTGAGGATGACGAGCAGGTGTTTACTGTCATCCCCCCCGAGTTTAACCAGGCTCAAAAATGACAGGCGTGCCTGTTTATAAGGGCCACCAATCGCCGTCAAGCTCTTCTAGAATTCGGAGTCCACACAAGACATGCACATTTATTTTGTAAATACAGATGTATAAAGGACATTTTTGATTTTTTTGCATTGTATAAAGGAAATGCAACTTTTCCCGCCCCGAAAGATGTTTGATAGTTTTATCTCTTTGAAAGTTGGAATCTTAATTTCCTGCCGGTGCTCGAGGCAGAATCATGGGGAGGTTTGAGCCTGTGTGCAGTGATGCAGTGAGTCAGTGTGGTGTGGAGCCCCGAGTCGGGGGGGGCCTGTGTGCCGAGTACTCCGATATTGAAAGTATTTCCGCTTTGATTTTAAGGTACGCGTGTGTGAGAGTGTGTCAGAGTGAGTGAGTGTTGGACTTCATCAAAGTGTTTTATGTATGTCAATTGACAGCAAGTGTGTCTTTGCACTATGTAAATACAGTTCTGGTAAAGGTCTTGTAACAAATGTGAACAACAAAAAAAAGGAAGAAAAAAAAAAGAACGGTTCAATGAAGTAATTTTTTTTGTGTGTGTGTTCTTCGTCTTTATATGGATATTTAAGATCGTCTCCCTCTGACTGTAAATCACTAGCAACATCGTTAGAGGCCGTTTCTCATAATCATGTTCTCACTCTTCCCCTGTATGGACTGATGATTAACATCATTAAAATGTTGTTTCAGTAACTCGTGTGGGCTCGCACTTCGTCTCTGCACACACACACTTTGGTCGATCAGCATTCATCCAGTTTCAGTAAAAGATAAAGATCAATTTTTTCCTCCAGACCCAGAAAGAAGATCGGATCCTTTTCTGTTTGAATGAGTTGGAGCTTCTTTTTTTTCCAGAAAAATGCACAAGTTTATGAAAAATATTCCTTTTGAATTTGCTAAAAGGAAAATATTTATTTTGTTCTATTCATATCTTATATAAAGACTTGTCATTTAAACAGTTCCTGTTCCCAGCAGAACTGCTTAGATGTCCAGATAATGCTGATGAAACTGCAAAGACTTAATTCACAAAAAAAACAATTTCATTTTTTTTTTCAATTATTAATACTAATCTGGTTTTTACACTCCATTTTTCAAGAGATTTTACTCTGACTCAGGCTGCTTTTTGACACTATGAATGTATCATAAAGCTTCTGAAAGATTTTGTGATGCGGAAATGTATCTGCAAACGAATTTGGAGGGGTGGTAAAATAATCTCAGAAACTTGCTGGTGACGCCGATGAGCAGAATTGCTGATTGTTGCAGACTTCAACTGTAGTTACAGAAACGACCACTAGGTGGAGACAAGGCTTTGCAGTGTGCTGTTCCATGGTCTTATCTGCCTTTTTTAACAGGATCAGCAAATCAGAGTGACTCAAATTTATGGTTTTTGTTTTTTTGTTTAGCTTTTTTGTGTTTTTTAAAATACAATGCTCAGTACAGGACCAGAATAATGTAAGAACTGTTACATAATTTCCTTCTTGGATGTATTCTCTTTCTTATATTGACTGAATATTTGTTGGCCTTCTGTTTCAAGCATGAAGGCTGAAAACATGTTTCCAAACTATACATCTGTTTTTAAAATCGTGGAAAACTTCAAAAGAACACGTACAAGAAGAGCCAATAGAAAAAAAAGATTCTGGTGTGCTCATTATGCCAAGTCCATGTTTTGATTTATTGCTCTTACTATATTTAGTGTGTTCCTATGGGGACGTTTATTGTTACGTAAAGATTTGTATAAAAAAGCAATTTTACAGTTCAAAAAAGGAACAAAAATAATCTTTTAATCAGGAGCGAATACCATATGTAAAATACTCTGCTGGCGCCACGCAGGATGCTTTGATTGGAATCACACGGAAATGCAAATGCCTCCTCTAATCTCAGTTCCTCTTATGTGTTCATGCCGGCCAGGTGAATAATACATTCATTAGGAGCTCTTTGGGACGTGTATGACTGTGGAGATCAAGTCTGTCTGAACGAATTCTGCAAAGCAGATGACGACATCCCCCCTTTTTTTTTTCCTGAATTTAGGTGAAAACATTTCAGGGTAGTAAGCCAATCTAATAATGAATTCATAATACACTTTAAAAGCCTCTCTGAGGTGCGAGTGATGTCGGAGGAGAGGGATGCAGCACTCTGGCACTCGATTGGCTCTGCTTCAGTGTATAACTGTAGGTGCGTATGTCTGTGAGTGTGGAGCATGAGTCACCCCGGCCTGCTCTGATTGGACGGTAGTTTATAGATGAGGGAGGGGGGGGAAGACTGCCCGAGGGGGCCGTCTGTCAATCTCTCCTCTGCTCCATTCACACATTCATCGGGGGGCACCGTCATAGAGGGGGGGGGGGGGGGGGGGGGGGGGGGGAAGTGAGCTGGAGCCTCTCATTCATAAAAGAGGAGAGAAAGTTCATTCATAAAAGCTGCACATTTTTGCTCTGCCTCAGAAAGGAAAAGAGACTGGAGGAAAGTTGATGTGGAGGGAGAAGCAGAGCTGGAAGCCGGCTGCTGACTGAGGGAAAAAAAAAAGGAAAGTGTATGGTTCAGTGATTTGGGACAGTACTCAGCATGACGGGAGCGGAGCCCAGCAGATTTTAGTGCTACACAGGACAACCCCTGTCCCAGACGGGTGAGTCGCATCTGGTGCAACGTGTTGTGGGATTAATTATGCTAATCTGAGGGGCACAAACGCATCTTTTCCAACGGTCAGATCATTTAAAAGACCCATAGAACTTTGTGAGGGGTTTTCTCCATATCTTTCCTTTGCCGGGTTATAACTTTGATCTAATTCCTAGTATGTTCTTCTTTTGTCTTCTTCACTCTGTTCCAGTGTTCAAGCCTCCTGATTATGAGAGAGCAAACCGTGCCCGGGCTCAGATCACACGCGGGACTCTTACCAGGCAGGTCCATTTCCGAAGTCACTGCGGATAGAATTAAATAACGGCCCCAAATGAGATTTCAACCCTCTTCTATCTTCCCCAGGTATGCTGAAACGCACTAAATACAGCCGTCTGCGCAACGATTCGCTGACTTCTTTGGAGGATCACCCCCAAAGGATGCTGCCCCTGAAGAGGGACCTCTGCTTGGACCCCGACTTTGCTCAGCTGGACCCTGGGACCCCCGCCCGGAACGGAACGTCCGCCCTGAGGGACTTCATCCCCCGGGTGGCCAACATCCGGCTGCAGAGCCCCATCTCCCTGCGGGGGAAGGGGACCACCACCCGGGACAGAGCCCTCCCCGAGCACGCCGAGAAACCCCCGACCGGTTCGGACTGGGGCTCGGGCCTGGACCAGAGGTTCTGCAGCCACCCGTCCCTCAGCGTGCCCCTCTCCGGGAGCCAGAACCAGATCCAACCGATCCACCCGGTCCACCCGGTCCACCCGGCCCTGCTCTGCACCAGGCGCCCCATCACCCTGCACCGGATGGCCAGCCTCCCCGGGCCTGGACCCGGGCCCGGTCCGGGGTCCAGAGGCGCTCTCTGCTGCCTGAAGACGGCGGCGGACGACTGCACGGCGCTGAGGGCGACAAACCGAGCGGTCCACCACCACATAAAGGTACCTCCCCTCACACCCCGGTCAGCAAAAGCAGGATTGAGCATCACTATTCAGTTCCTTCTGGCTTAAACTTCCTCGCCGTCCCGACACATGACTCAGTTCCTGCCTGTGTCAAAACAAACCGGCACACGTGAACGTCAGGGAATACACACGCAGACTCACTTTATTTTTCTCGCTGCTCTTTCCGCACCATCGCACTCACTTTGGTGCGTTCACCCCCCCCCCCCCCCTCCCCTCCCAGATAAGGCTTCCTGTGTAGGCAGTAGTGACTCATCCTGGCTCTCTGCTCCTCTCTAGATCGGCTCTGCTTGTTGTAGGTGTGTGTGT